ACCAATTAACCATTGAAAAGTTTATAAGAATATCTTGTCATCATATATCTACTAGTTCATCTTCACCTGCTGCATTTCTTGCTTAGACGCCCTTTGATGCTTTGCATCAATGCTTTTCTTGTATAACCTGTAATGAATTCTTATTTAGACCGCGTAATAGGTCAAAGGGGGTATCTTATCTTATCTTATAAATACTTGTCAATAAATAAGCCTTGCAGACTTGGAAATTACGTCCAGATGGCATTTTTAAAGGCATATTATGCCTTAGAAACAATTGAATTTTTACTTCTTTAGAAAGGGCAAACATGAACTTTATAATGTTTAAAAAATGGATTTAGTAAATGTAAGATGCTTGTTATCTAAAGAAAGTAGCGATAGATGTGAAATAATTTGTCATAAAAGTAGCAAAATGTAAACAAATAGTATTGTGGCTTTCATACAAAATACTAATCTACTATAACTGTATTTATTGCCAAAATTCAACATTAAAAAATCTATTGAGAAAAAAGAATAACAGTAATACTGAGGCATAATGGTCCTTCAAGATATTCCACAATACTTGAATATGATAGGCCTCTTGAGACAAGCATTACATTAAGACGTTTAATTTTATTTGACCGGCTAAGTAGGTGGTATGAAAAAAGAAAAGACAACATTTCAAACAAATATGTTTATTAAACGTTGGTGATATGTTAACGCAGAAAAAATCAAGTAAGCACAGCACAGCACATTTCTGGGTCTGTTATATATTGTATACAAATGTAAACAGCTTTAAATTTAGTATCAATTTAAGTATAAAGACATAGATTTCTATGAATTTTAAAAAGGCACAGCTATTTACAAAATTACAAAATGTTAAAAACAAACTGGTCATATTTAAGCAACGTGTTTAAATGTGTTTTTTTTTATAATTAATTTTTTACAATTATTATTACACACCGCTGTGGTATTTCGGAATCTTATTAGAGGGACGAGGTGGTGCAGTAGTGACGTTATGTACAATTGTTCATTGTCAAGTTGAGCTGAATTGACAAAATATTTCAAAAGACTATGACTGTTATAATGGTGAGTAATTGGAAAATAATAAGGATAAAATATAAAACTGCCTAAAATATAAAAGAAAACTGCCCTAATCTTTTTATAAATTGAAGGTAAAAGGTAATTTCCGATAGATATCTATAGAAATTTCCTGGGGTCATGTTAGTTTTTTATCGTTTATAAAATTGAAAGGAATTATGGCAAAATGAAAAAAAAATATTTTAATTTTCACCTTTGATGAGCATAATGTCAATTTAATTTAAATTGGCTTACAATATATTGAGAAATATAAAGTTGGATTGCCTGCTTCTCTATTGAAAGGTATACATGATACAGTCTCCCTGTTGAGATTTTAAAAGCCGGGATCCGAGCGTTATGAAACTGCGTTTTTCTTTGCTATGATGGGCTTTTGTAACTGTTTCACTATCCACCTACATAAACACTCGTCAGGGGCGGACCGAGTTGACAAGATGAATGCCTGTAGCAGCTATAAATAAAGTAGATTGAGTTATTTTCATACAAAATACACATATTGTATATACAATGGTGATATAGTTGTACAATGTTACATGCATAATTGATCTATAGTTTATACAGTATTCCGTCTAAAAAATTGAACATTTGTGAGAATTAGTGTATAATTTTTCTCTGCAGTATTTTTTCTCCTCAGTTAAATTGTTGTAACTCTATTTCTACGACTGACAAGTCACTGCTGGTCTCTTCCCGTTTTAGCCTCATCTTTCCGCCAGCACAAGTATTTGGAGCTTTTAATTTTACTTGCGGTTCACCAAGTTTTTCACAAATTTGGTTCATAATATTACGGTCATGATTCCTGAAATTAACACAAGATCCAACACGGAGAAACGCTTTCACTTGAGCATGGCTAATGTTACTGGCGGAAACATAATCAAAATTAACAAGGACGATCTTTTTACATCTGTTATTTCTAAAGTTATTCCATGCGTATTTCCATTCGCAGACAGTTGATGAGCGTTCATCGTCATCCGTATGGAAGTAATTGTTTGTCAGTATAACCAAAACAGCACGTGAGCGTTCAATTGCATGTATAGCTTGATTCTCACGTACATCTCCAAAACGAATATCTCTATAGGGAATAAAAACATTATATCCCAGATTGGTGAGATAGTTGTCAAGATGTTTATTGACCCAAGATAAACTATCATTATTGTTCTCATCTAGCGTAATATACGCGTCATACAAAAATTCAGGGTGTGTCATATAATTCTCCTTTCTCTTCCTTCTCATTTGGAGGTAAACAATTAGAACCTCGTACCTTAATTTATATATAACAACAGCAGACGCTATACAGAGGGCAGTTATTCCTCCTATAACGCTACTGATCATTGTAACCAGAATATTCGGCTCCGAGCAATCTAAATCATCTACGTTAAATGAACTGGCTGGGATAATTCCTTTTCCTGGTACATTGCAATAAAACTGACCGGTTTCGCAATCTTTCGATTTCAGCCATTCGGCAATCCATTGAGAGTCACAGTCACAATCTATGGTGATGTCATCAATGACGATTAAGCAAGCGTTCCGGTATTGAAAAGTTTGCGGTAGTCTAAGAAGACGATCATTGTTTCTTAAATCTATAACTGCCGCCTCAAGCTTCCTTGCCATATGGTCATCTATTTCACGGATATCGTTATTACTTAAATCTAAGTTAGACAATTTTGACAAGTACGGCCCATCAGGTATATACCTTATTGCATTACCAGACAGATTCAGAGACACCTGTGATGAATATGTGGAATTTGGAATGGTAGGGAAATGTTGGAGAGAAGGGATTGCATTTGAACAGTCTATGATTAGAGTATCTTTGTTTGGTTCATCAACGCATGTACATTGTGGTGATTGGCATCCTGAATCTGCACCGAGTGGACAAACTAAATCTGACAGATTTAAATTTGGAATAGAGACACCCATAAGCAGTTCTGGAGCTGTACACTCTACCACAAAATAATCACGCCAAAGAGCTTTAATTATATCTTTTGCCAACGACAAAAACGGCTGTAAAGCACAGTCGCATACTATTGGTATCCCCCGTAAGTCAAATCCGAAATCCCAGACTTTACCTAATACACTGATGTCGTCTATATTCAGAAGCGTTTTCAAATCAGGAAATTTTTGAAGGGAATTATCTTGAAAGTTTATAAATCCGGGTCCATAAATTTCACTAGTATCCAATGTAAACTCGGCATGGTTAACAAATTCAGTTATTTCATTTGATGCGACGTTAATTTCACAGAAAGGAAATGGTGGCACAATGTTAGACACATCTAGAGTTTTTAACTGATTTCCACTTATGTCTACATACAGTAAGTGTTGATTTGTAGAGGAGAAAGTATTTGGTTCCAGCACTGTCAATTTATTACCCTCTAATCTTAGAGATCGCAAATGTGAAAGGTTTACAAAAGACATATTTGACAAGTATGAAATACTGTTGTACCGTAAATTTAACTCATCGAGCTTATACAAACAACTGATGTCCGCTAGTACTTCTATGTCGTTGTATTCAAGGTTGATAAGCACTATTCTATCTCTGTAGACAGAAATATTTGAAAATGAAGTAAACAAAGCTCCTAAGTTTGTATCGTTAACGTCTTTGCATAAATTAACTGGAAACTCTTTCATTTCTGACTGACTTCTGTATATCTTGTAAACGTTGGACTCCACGGATTGATTGTTTGATAGCACAATATTTTTTCCAGTGATTGACAATTCTTCGATATATAAATCAATTTCTTCTCCCATCCACGAGGTACACGAGTTGCACGAGCAACAGTTCTTTTCCGCGCTTTCTTCAAAACATTCGTTATCACAATAAAGATCGTCTCTGTTGTCAGACCAAGGCGGCGTCCATGACTGTACGTTACCATCATTACAACCAAAGGCATCTGTTGCCAATGGTGACGTAATAATGATTTGAAGTAAGAAAATAAATCTTACTATTTTAAGAGCACACTTTCTTGCAAATCTGAAAATATAGGAAAAAATGTCTGAAATGTTTGAAAAATAAGTGCCAAATTTGGGGTCAGTTGCCGAGATGTTTTCATTGCTAACTGTCAAGAAGCGGGAGAACTTAGTAAGAACTTATTACCTACAAAACTATCATACGTAAAAGAATATTCCAATATAAAGTCAGAGAAAGATCGTATTCAACAGTGTCGTTTTGGTTTTAGTAATACGCACTCATTTATGTTAATTATGTTAAATACGCAGTTGACATTATTCAATAATACGTGGGTTAATTTTTAAAGACTTTCTGTAAACTAATTTTTATAAAACAATGGTATCTTATTAACCCATTACTTCATATACACGCCTTTTAACGCCTTTTTCACCCCCCCCCCTTTTGTTGTCTCAAATGATGAAAAAATGCCTTATTTAGGCCCCAAACACTTGTTTTTGTTTGAGAAATGTTGTTAAAAAAAGTGACCTCTTTTTCGGCGCGGCCCCCCAACCAAAAGATACGTCAGGGGGTTGCCAGAAGGGGGGTGTGCCCCCTTCTGTTTGGGGGGGTTTGAAGGGGGGCGGAGTCCCCCTCATCGCCAAGAAAATTTTGGACTTGTTAGAGGCTGTAAATGACCCCAGATTGATCATAAGGTAACGTGTAACCAACGCTGAAAAGCATTTGACTCTATCTCAATCCATTGAGAAGTTGCAGCACTTTGAAATCAATTTTGATGGAAAAAATCAACGCAAAATAGTGATTTTTGGCAATTTTGAGATGTCCCCTCGTTGCCATGGTAACAGAAAATTTAAGCCTGAGCATGTTGTTGCAAGGGCAATGGTCCAGTCAACATTTGTGCCAAGTTTGATTAGTGTTGAAGCAGTTTTTATAGTATTATAGCAATTTGAACTTGTAACGGGAGACTTTTCAATGAAAACAGCCATTTTTCACAAAATGCTCATGAAGCAATGGGTTAATGAAAAAAATAAAAAAATCTACAAAACAACAATTTTTCTTCAAATTTATATGACAGACCATGTTTAAACATGAAAAAACGCGATTAAGGGTAATTTCAAGTATTTTCATCATTTTCTGTTAACCCATTACTTCATATACACGCCTTTTAACGCCTTTTTCACCCCCCCCCCCTTTTGTTGTCTCAAATGATGAAAAAATGCCTTATTTAGGCCCCAAACACTTGTTTTTGTTTGAGAAATGTTGTTAAAAAAAGTGACCTCTTTTTCGGCGCGGCCCCCCAACCAAAAGATACGTCAGGGGGTTGCCAGAAGGGGGGTGTGCCCCCTTCTGTTTGGGGGGGTTTGAAGGGGGGCGGAGTCCCCCTCATCGCCAAGAAAATTTTGGACTTGTTAGAGGCTGTAAATGACCCCAGATTGATCATAAGGTAACGTGTAACCAACGCTGAAAAGCATTTGACTCTATCTCAATCCATTGAGAAGTTGCAGCACTTTGAAATCAATTTTGATGGAAAAAATCAACGCAAAATAGTGATTTTTGGCAATTTTGAGATGTCCCCTCGTTGCCATGGTAACAGAAAATTTAAGCCTGAGCATGTTGTTGCAAGGGCAATGGTCCAGTCAACATTTGTGCCAAGTTTGATTAGTGTTGAAGCAGTTTTTATAGTATTATAGCAATTTGAACTTGTAACGGGAGACTTTTCAATGAAAACAGCCATTTTTCACAAAATGCTCATGAAGCAATGGGTTAATGAAAAAAATAAAAAAATCTACAAAACAACAATTTTTCTTCAAATTTATATGACAGACCATGTTTAAACATGAAAAACGCGATTAAGGGTAATTTCAAGTATTTTCATCATTTTCTGTTAACCCATTACTTCATATACACGCCTTTTAACGCCTTTTTCACCCCCCCCCTTTTGTTGTCTCAAATGATGAAAAAATGCCTTATTTAGGCCCCAAACACTTGTTTTTGTTTGAGAAATGTTGTTAAAAAAAGTGACCTCTTTTTCGGCGCGGCCCCCCAACCAAAAGATACATCAGGGGGTTGCCAGAAGGGGGTGTGCCCCCTTCTGTTTGGGGGGTTTGAAGGGGGCGGAGTCCCCCTCATCGCCAAGAAAATTTTGGACTTGTTAGAGGCTGTAAATGACCCCAGATTGATCATAAGGTAACGTGTAACCAACGCTGAAAAGCATTTGACTCTATCTCAATCCATTGAGAAGTTGCAGCACTTTGAAATCAATTTTGATGGAAAAAATCAACGCAAAATAGTGATTTTTGGCAATTTTGAGATGTCCCCTCGTTGCCATGGTAACAGAAAATTTAAGCCTGAGCATGTTGTTGCAAGGGCAATGGTCCAGTCAACATTTGTGCCAAGTTTGATTAGTGTTGAAGCAGTTTTTATAGTATTATAGCAATTTGAACTTGTAACGGGAGACTTTTCAATGAAAACAGCCATTTTTCACAAAATGCTCATGAAGCAATGGGTTAATCTGCTTTATGAAATAAATACATATATATGTTGTTTGAATTCGATACTGTGTTGACTTATAACTATTTAAAATTATTAGTTTTTCAGATCTGGGGTATTACAATACAAGGGGCGATTTTGTGCCGTGGCTGACTTTACAAATAGTGAGCATTTTTTATTCTAGTTTTGTTTTCATTTATTTACGCTAATTTGGTCAAATCTTACATTGTCTTATATACATAAATATATGTAATATGAAATGAGTTGCTACCTGTGGCGCAGTAAGCTAATATCAAGCATAACATGTGCAGTATACATGTAAACCAGATCTTTCTTGCACTTCGTAAATAACCAAATGCAGTTATTTTATACCGTAAAACAGAAACACATTTATAAAAGAGTGGTGTTCAAAATATCATGGGAGTGCTCCGAATGTTTCCAGAAATCTCCAAACTCCTCAAGGTGATTTGATTGACTAGCGAAGCAAAGGGAGACCACTGTGCCATTGCTATTTAAGAAATAATGTATCCAAATAGTGATTTGATTGCTCAATAAAATCACTGTTGGAAGTTCGGATGTAAGGAATTATATCAAGAGGGCGTAGCCCGAGTGATATAATAATGCGCATCCGAACGATAAACAGTGAATTTATCTCGCGATAAAATCACCGATTTGGATATATTATTTCGATTCTAACACGACATCAACATATGCTGCCGTACATGCTATTAAGCTAAATTGCTCCTGATTTGTTTCCGTACTTATTTTCAGCGCGTCACAATTTTAGTGGTTACGTCACGTGTATAATGATTACGTCACATGTCTAAATATAGAACGTCAAACTGTGATTTTATTGCATAATAACACACATTTTCGGTTCTTCTTTGTTCAATAGGGGAAAATGCGGGTCGTGTTAGAAAAATCTCTAATCTGTTGTTGTTAAACGTTATCTTTAATGTGCTGGTTTATCAAAATAGTTATGTAAAAGTTACTTTTTACATTTACCATCGTTACTTTAGTTCTTGTCATTGATAAGTTTATTTATTTTCTGATTTGTACATAATTCTTCTACCGGAAGTGTTATTTGACACAGAAGACCAGAATAGTCTGAATTATGTTGACGCTCAAAATCACCCTGATATCCATATTTAGCTGTAAAGTATTTCAAAATGGCGGCAAGGATTTCAATATGGCGGCGCCCTGTGAACTAAGGATTTTCATAAACTCGTAAGATAGATATTTTTTATTGTTTTTAAAGTTTCAATTTCATTTTTTCACGTCATACACGTTATCTTAAAGCTCTAGGCTTTCCGTGTATAAAAACTATATTCCTTGGGTAAAAAGACTACAATAGTAATCACTGCTAACATAAGATGAGGATGACAACCTGTGAATTAATCGCACATTAAAATTTGAATTGTTGAAAAATTTATGAATAAACGAACTGGAAAAATCAATTACATATTTTTTTGATACATATATTTCTGGGAGGGGCTTTATCTTATGTTGTAAGAACTTGTTGCCAAACTTCATTACTATATAAATTTACATGTGAATGCTGTTTAACTAAAAGAAGAACAGATAAGTTATTTTAATTAGTTTGAACATATTAATTTTCAATCGATTGTTTATTAAATGTTTTAACATGTGTCAAGAACAGTAATCGAATCACTTAAGACCATTTTACCGAACTGAGGACTGCACAAGGGTTCGAACTAAAAACCCCTTGATTGAGAGATAGACACTTTAAGCAGCACAAGGCAATCTTTATCCTTTATTCTAAAATGAAACATGTCTTGATGAGAAAATTTTTCTTTCTTGCTTTACTTTCTAACTGAATAGTTTTATCATATATTTCTTTTGTCATTTGTTGCTACTCACTCTCACTGGCAAGAAATAACAGGGACATTAAATTTTAGAGTATCAAATCCCTGGTAGAGGCCCTACCCTGTGCTGGCACTCGGCTATAAATGACTATAAATGACCATGTACAGCGAGCGCTATTTTGGTGATTCAATAAACAAATTGACAGTGAAGGTAAAGTTGTTATCGCCGCCGCACTACATCTGGTATCAACTGGATGCATATATTTATACTGGTGTTTTACCTCATTTGTTCATGAAATTGAACTATACTATCTTTGTATCTTTTTATACCCTAAAATCAGACGACAACTATTTCGTTATATACCGTCTTAACCCTTAACGTTATGAATTTGCAATACTTTGAATTTGGAAAAGTTCAGTTGAAAATTAAGTAATTTCAATATGAAAATACAAAAATTGACACGCCTAGTCAGACTGCACATGTGTACAGACTGGCCTGGCTCTTTACTGGTGGCAATGGCTAACCATTTCCGGTTCCCGTAGCTATAGAATTAATGTTAACTTCCTTATTTCTACTTTGTAACTATCAGCGATTTATTCCCATTTCCATGCATGTTACATATGTACGAGTAGTATCAGAAATGAAAATAAAAAAAAAAACTTTAAAAATATGTTCTTTCTGTGGTTAGCCTTGATATTATATAAATAAAACAACATCATTATATTAATAAATAAATAAAACAACATCATTATATTTTTATATAGAATAAAACAGTATCACATACCTCATTTTTTCACTTTTCCCAGTTTGAAATAATATTATGTACAAGTAAGGTGCTTTCTTTAAGTCTGCGTTAAAAAGGGAATTCACCGGGTTTTTTTTCTCGTTACAGTAACTAAATTATGCATAATTATATGAAATAAAGATTCTTATCGATTATTAGAAGCATGCCTTATCTTGAATAAATTTGTAAAACCTTGCCATATCACGCAAGGTTGACTTCATCTTTTGTTATACAAAAACATGATAGCGGGATAATTATCGCGGTTATCTTGCATTTATAATGGATTAAATCTGTGAACAAAATATTTATAATTAATTATTTATTTTTTTGTTTTTTTTTTTTTTGCAAATCGAAACAATGGAGCAACAATACTTGAATCAAGTTTTTTCAGCAATCGCCTACTCGAGTATGACTTTCCATATGCAAACACTATATCTGCAACTTTACGTCTGTGCAGAGAGAGTTCAACTAAAAATTTGATTGGCGTAAACTTTCAAACAAATATAAATGTAATACAGGTGAGCGAAAACAGACTAATGATATCTTTTTTGTAGAACATGTAATGTTTTATAATGTAGATTTATTAAAATGCGAATGTACACACATAGGTAAACGCATCAACTAACTGTGCTCGCAAGAACTGATACAGGTTGAATCAATATATAATGCAGCGATGGGAAATAACAGTATGTATCATATAACATACAATCACATAACATATGTTTTATTCAACATTTAATTGTATACATACAATTTAAAGTCATACAGTTCAAATATAATGTGGCGTAAAGTGTTATAAATTACAGTAAGTTAGCTGAGAAGTTTAAGTGACAAGTATATATAACAAGGAAATGACTTATCTAACAGAATTTGTATATAACTGATATCAATCTAGTCAGGGTTATATAATACAGCTTATTATATCTCTTTATACAAAACATGAAACAACCTGTAACTAATTATCTGATTTGTCCATCTCATTCACTATACAAAACATGAAACTACATTTAATTGTAATTGTGATATAATAATTTAATGTTCAAAGTTGAAACTGTCCTGTTATTCCCCCATATTATATTCCAACCAATCGAATGATTCTCTATTATATATTTTATGACCTTATAACATTTAGATATTATCAAGCTACTTTAATATCCATCATTGTCCATAATTGATTGATAATTGATTGTTTTTATTATTATCAGGTATTTGTATCTCAAATCGCTTAACATAGTGTTTAGTCTCTTCATTATAGGAATAGAAGGCGCCCTCTATCGGGTAAATATTTTTTTCTCTGACAGACCATTGTCTTTTTTTATATTTAGAACGTCGTATTAAATTAAAGGGAGTTTTATAGAGTCTAATGTAGGTCTATATAAATTACTTGTGCGCAAAATTGCGGATCAATTCGTGTTTTTTTTTTATATTTCAATTTTGTGCACAAAAGGTCGTTTAAACGCTGTAATCACAAAACGGTCAAACAATGGCGCTAAACATCAATTTTTAATTCAATCCTAAAGGTTCTTTTTCTTTATTGTCTTGTTCATATATTATTACGTTTTAAGTGTTCTAGTTTATCTATATAACATTTTCAAATTTTATGTGATTGGGCTTTTGTAATTCAATGGAGCTCCTTTAGGTTTTTGCAATTGGAAGGTTTGTTCTATTCTATAGATATTGAAAACGTTAAAAAAAACTTGTACACATTCAAATTACACAAACTTACATGACACATGAAATGGTAGGTCGTGTCCGGTAACTTTATACATCAATGTCTCTGCTTTGTACGTACGCTGTCTACACTGTCCTTTCAGAACAAAGAGATACTGGAATACTACTGTAACACTTATTTGAAGGACTGAATTACCATGTCTTGCCGCCTGAATTTAACAGTGCTGCTTATAATCGTATTTTATGGAGATGCATGTTGCAGCACATGTTTCTTTGGAATTTGTTCATGGGCGGAATGGAAAACAGTCTCAACTAATTGCGGATCGTCATACTGTAGTCAACAAAGAGCGAGACAAATATGTTGTTTAGATATTGGTTGGAGTGCCCAGACGTGTAGTCGCTATTGTCCAGCATCTGGTGGTGGTGGCTACTCTCAGTCGGGAAACGGAGATTCTAGTACATTAACATGTAATCACTGCAGTAATGGCGGATCTCTTCAATACTACGGACGGGCGTGTGACTGTGTGCCAGGATACTACGGAACATGTTGTCAATATGGTACGTAATTTACCATTCTTACAATACGTGGCATATCTCTTGTTCTATACAAAGCTATGGGCAAACCGCTGATGTAAAGCAAGCTTCTATTAACTTTCTATTCACTATACATAGAGAATAACATGCTACTGTCTTTTGATATGAATTTTATCAGGCGAGGCTGATATGGGCTAGAAAGGGGCGAGGCTTGCCGAGCCCTTTCTTCCCATATCAGTCGAGGGTTTAATGTTGTTTTTTATTTTCCCTTACAAATTTAATCTATTTATAGTGCAATCTTTATGTGAGAAGTTAATTATTGATTATGGATTCTTTGTTTAATATGTCAGTCATTTATTACAATAGAGATATACGAGTGCAGCAGTTCACCGTGTAAGAATGGAGGCACATGTATAGATAAAGTCAATGGATTCTCGTGCACGTGTCCACCTAGACTCTATGGAACATATTGTGAAACTGGTAAGTGGTGACGAGTTTTGGAATCAGTTGGTAATATAAAATAATATTTAATTTCTGAATAGAAATAAGCCATTTTGAAGATACTTGTATGTATGTTCTATTTTCAAAAGGTATACTTCCTCTGTAATTATAAATTTACATGTATTTTCCATCCGATTTATGTTCATTTATAAACTTCAATAAATCACACATGGATATAAAGTAATCACTAGTTAAACATTTCCTGTCTCACAGTGATTATACCTTTTTAAATTGAAATTGCAATATTTTCAACATAATCACCTACTAATTAATTCATTTGTATATTATATCGTTCCTGTAATGT